AATGGCACTGAGTCATGGTTACTAAATGGATTCATGGAGGACACTGTTCTCCTGCAGAGCAAACACAAATGTAAGGAACTGAAATTAATTTCTGTTTTAGTCCAGGCAAAAGCAGCCACGTTGTAAATAAGGCTGTGGCTTGATGATACAAAGCCTTTGCTCTGTTACTGGTTCCTACTTACTCCTTGTTCCTTCCTTGTTACACAGCACACCAACCCTCTGCTGTGTGTGGTGCACTGGGAACCACATCGGGACACTGAAAAATGAACCAGGTGAGAATCTTTATAAAGATATTTTATGTAAAATACATAAACACTTTTAAAATAGGTGCATGTATTTTTAAAGCCAGATAGATCAGTTCCTCAGTCTGGTTTCTAATTCAGAGGTGGAATGATGGATGAGATTCTTCCCTGCTGGTACAGAAGGAAACAGTCACAAGAGCAAAGTGGTTAAATATGAGCCTGATCCTGGTGAAAAAGGATCCCAAACCAGAGCTGAATATTCAGTGTGAAAAGCATAAAACGGATTTCTCCACTGGATTGTTGTGCTAGCAGTTAATGTGTTGCTTGGAAAACATCTCAACATTTGGGGGAGAAACAGTTTCTGGGGTAACTCTCAAATGGTAGCTTTGATTAACCTTATGTTGGTGAGAATCTCAGCTGTCTCTTCTCTCACAAAGCCCCCACTCTTATGGTCTTCACCCTATCGATTTTGAAACAACAAAATTCTTCTGCAGAACCCTAGGAGTTTTTATTTACTTGCAGTTCTACTGAATTACTTGTGTAGCCTTTGCTAACTGAAAAGACTCTGTGACAAAGTACAGCAATCTCAGTTCGAGCTTTTATCAGCTCTAACTGCTGATAATTTCCTGCATGTGATTTGTACAGTAACCACTGTGTGAGGAAAGATTATGGGCCACAGACCTGTGCAATGCATGTGCCAGGATTAAAATGCTGCTTTCTGACAAACAGAATCAAAAGTATCAAATAAATACGTGTGGCTGTTTATAGAATATTAAAAATAATTTTTATTTCACATGAAGATTTAGAAAGCTTTTTTTTTTGTAAAATAGGAAAAAGGAACATAAAATTCAATAAGCAAACAACAGAAAAAATAACAGCAGGGAAATTGAATGAGAAAGCAAAATCACATCACACAAAGGTTTATAGATTAGTTTAATCCCATTGATGTTGCATAAAACTTGGTAACTGTGTGTGTTGCTGTCGTCCTCTTGTGGGAAGGTGCAAGGAATATATGACTGCACAGTATTAATTGGGGACTCAACTTTGATGTTCCATCACAAACAAACCTAAATTCCCAACCCACACACAAGAATGTAAACACAATTAGAAAACAAATCCCACAAACAAGGAGAGAGAGTCATCCCAGGAATTTATGATTAAATGGCCTGGAATCTCCCTTTTGTGGAAAGCAGAGCAATAGAAGCACACGTGCATGAAGACACAGGGGATTCTGGTAAATCCAAGGCCCAAAGCACATTGTTTGCATCCATTCTGCCAGATTCTACAGCACTTTTGTTGCTTTGGCATTATTTTGTTATGTTTGCTGCAAATTATTGCTACCTGTGCACTACATACTGTATATTTGTAGGAAGCAGTCAGAGTCCCAGGGTTTGGAATTTGTCTGTGGGAGCAACCAGAATATTAAGAATTATAGTATAAGAATCTTGCATGTGTTAGTAATGATTTAGGACTGTTTTACATTATCTTTCCTTGTGGTGTTTTATTAACAGTAGTCGGTTATTAATGATGTTGGAGTACTTTATTTGATGGATCTGTAGAATGTTTTCATTACATGTAAACAGATTGATTCCCTGCTTCCAGAAAAGTGCCTGTTGGCAGAAAGAGGGCATCTGGTTTTTCTTAGGAGGAGAATAACCCATCTGACTTTTTACAGTGGAGCAGATATGACAATATAAGAGGGGGAAAAAAGGTACATGAAGCAAATCACTTTCCTGGTTTGCTGTCGTGATCATAGTGATGGCTTTTCCTAATTTTTAAATTACACTGTTGAAATGTTGCAGCTGCTTTGTAACCAACTCAGATTTCTTTGTATCATAATGCTTCTGTTGCAGGATTTTAAATGAGAAGGCAGGAATATATCACCTCCCAAGAAAGATACTGTAGCAATAGATAAAATAACATTCCATTGGGTCAACTTCGGGTCCCACTGTTATTTTACAGCACTGGACTTGATCTTCGGTGATGCTCAGCCCAAATGCCTTCACTGCCCTCCCTTATTGGCTTCTTGAAGAAAAGAGGTAAGGTACCACCAAGATTCTAGCAATTATTTCTATAAAGCAAGTGTGATGTTCAATTTACTTTATAGCCTTTAATTGCAACACTGTTCTCTTAGTTGAAACTGATAACAAATACTAAGTAGATTTGATCCAATTCAGCAATATTATCAGTATAGTTCTGTGCCTGGGAGGTACTGCTGCTCTCTAATACAGACTATGAAGCAAATAATGTGTCTCTGAAGGGTTTAGAATTTGACCTCCAGCCACCTTTGTTCTGTTAACTGTTTAAAAACAAACCTGACTCTCCTCCGTCTGTGTTTATGAGCAGACACTCCTTGGGCAGGGGGGCCAGAGGAAAGGGCTGTGTATGTCAAGGGGTATTATCCTGTCCCCGACAGGAAACACTTCCCCTTGAAGTCCCAAGGGGACTGAGCAGCCTGCTGCAGTCTTCCTGGAGGAGCAGGAGGCACGGGAAGTCTGCAGCAGCAAACTCCCTGTCACAAGGTTTGGGAGCAGCAGCGAGGAGTGCGGGACACAGAGCAGAGTGAGCTATTTCTGGAGCATGTTCGGGTCTTGTTCATTCGTTATTTCAATATAATAGATGAAGCACCTTTATTTCTACAACATAAGTGTAAAATACTCAGTAGAGGTGAGCTTGGGGGTTTTAATCACCTTTCACTTGGAATCGTTGCTAGAGGATAATCTTTGGAGAGTCATAGGGCCAGTTTCCTTCCAGCCTCCTTGGGAATGCAAGAGCTGCTTGCATTCTGCATGGCCATGCAGTGTTCTTCGCTGGGACGGCATCTACATGTGGAAAACTAAAGCAGAGAGCCCCTTGGTTCACACCACTACAACTTCTTCCAAGTCCTTTTCGAGAGCAGGATCTTCCAAAGTGTCTCTTTTTGGTGATATTTCATCCAGTCACACACCTGGATCCAAGAAATGACTGCAGCAGTCCTATAGCCATCACTGAGGGGACAGTGCTTTTTGACAGCTCTGCAAAGAATGTCAAAGGATAAAAATGAAGATCCCAAAACTCATAAAAACTGACAGGTTCCTTTCATCAATTCTCCATCAAGAGCTTGCTGCAAGCTCTTCAGAACAGCAGGTGCCAAAGCAATTGAAATCTGCACGTAGAAAATATCTCCATAGGGATCTCTGCTTTGTTACCTGATTTTCACCCACTTCTGGAATGGAAGAGAGACTCATGTCCATTAATTTAATAGTATTTAACACCATCCTACAAGAGAGTGAAGAAACATCTCAACAGTAAGACGTTAGAGAGGCAAAATGTACTAAGACACCTTGACGTTTCTTTTCTCATCAGAGTTTTTGGTTACTAAAATTGCCCTAGAACACATCTGGTATTTACAAATCAATTTTTAATAACAGTAATATGCATCCCAAAGGAATGAAAAGAAGAATGTGGGATGGCTGCAAGTCTCATCAAGCTCTAACGTAGCTCTGGAGCCATACTAGTTAAACATACTTTTCTTCAAAACTCTGTTCAGGCAAAGTGACATATTTCTAGTGAGACTGTTCAGTCTCCACCAAGAAGACAACATGTCCTGAGGAAAAATAAGATCCATCCAAAGTAATTGCTGTGTGCTGCAGCTGGAGCTCTGTTTCCAAAAAATAGCTAAATATAAACATTCCTGAGTGAATGGGTGGGAAGCCAAGACTGCCCTGCAGCACAGATACCCAGTAAATAGGATTACCTATGAACAAGCTAATCCACAGGAATTCATTCTGCCCCAGCACTGAGAAGGAGATCAGGAAAAGAAGCAATACAGCTGCTTAAAGTACAACTATATAATTAATAGGACTTCTCTGGAAATGCCTTTTTGGCATCTGGTACGAGTTATTTCCCACATTCCTCAACCAAGCTACTCCATACCCCAATGCAGAGGTTACATTTGTTTAGCTGTCAGTCAGGATCTCTGCACACATCCCCAGGGACCTGCAGCTCTGGCTGTTTTCTTCTGCTTGTTGCAGTGCCACTGGAGGTGATGTGAGAAGGAGACACACAGCTTCATGATTGTGTCCCAGATTCCCGCCTGGAAAGGACACCACAACTCCAGGACTTCCAACGATCTTTGTACTTGTACATCACTTCTGGTTTTTTAGGTGCATTCTAGAATAGAAATCTAAAGTGTCACAGCAATAATACAGCTGTGAAAAAAAAGAATAAACCTTTCCTAGGAATACTTTATTTTTAAAAATAATTCTACCACCACTTGGAACTGGGTTTTGGCAAACCCAGGTGTTCAGAGTTCCATGCTTCTGCAACATGTACTTTAGGCTCTTTCCTGGAGAAATTCTGCAGAGTTGCCTCCTTAAATTCTGGACCAGATGCTTCACATTTTCTGAGAGCTTTCATGGATGTATTACATGAGTTTCTTGACCATAATTATGGATCTTGGCAGTAATGACAGTCCTCTGTGCTTCCCCATTAAGGTGAATTCAGATGCAGGGAATGGTGGTAAGTTCAGTAAAAAAACCCCACAGGTACCGGCATTTGACACAGGATATTCCAACACTAATTCTCTTCCAGATAGTTCTCTCCCAGAACACTCAAGTCATCAGGAAACCGTTTTGTGCTTTTGTACACAAGGCTATTGATGGTGTTTTATGGGCTCATCCTGTCAAACAATGTGAGAGCCCTGAGAGACTGTTCCGAGCAGTTGTAGAGCCTGCCTTGAATTTAAACTATGCTTAGGGAGAACGACCTTGTTAAATGCATTCTGGAGGGGAGTTAATGTAAGAAAACACACCTTTTCCATACAATGTTAGCAAAAGTGCTGCTAAGCCAGGTGAGTTTAGACAATGAATAATTTATCTGGCTCAAGTTAAGACTCTGCAGGCTGAAAATAATAAGAGAGTTTTGGGTAAGAAGTGTCTCCCTCCAGCCCAGTCATCCCTACTTGTATGAGCTTCAAAATACTGAGAGAAGAAAAATATTGTTACTAGAAAAATGGGGGAATTTGACTTAGATATGAAACAGTTTCTTTCAGAAATAGAATATCTCTGTGACTGCAGTTTAGATATTTAAGATCCACCTTCGCCTGAAGAGCCTTCATCTGTGTTTCAACCACCAAGTTTCTATAATGGACCTCACTGAATGTGTCATCTGATACATCCTGGTGTGTCTTCTGACAGGAAGGGAGCTAATATGAAACCTATTCAACTATCAAGACCAGAAATCTCACTTCTAGTATTATCCTTTTTACATTTTTTTGAAGATCCAACGGTCAAAGTAATGATCCTTATACACTAAAAACAAATAATAAAAATAACAAACAAAAAACCCCACCAAAAAACAGCCAACCAAACAAAAAAGCCAACCCCACAAATTCTACATCCCTGCTTGAGTGAGGGATGTCCAAACTATTGATCTGCATCCCAGGGCTTAGCTAGTTAAGGAGAATTCTGTGAACTGTGAGACAGAAATATATCCCAAAAAACGAATCACCAAAACAGTATTTCCATCTGGCTGCTCCATCTCCTGGATCCAGCAATTCTCCCCTGTGGCCGACAATGCTTTTCTTTGGGTTTTGCAGCTCACAGGACACCTTTTGATTTCTGGTCTAACTCCATTCCACATTTTCCATGGAAGTTCCCCTCTGCTGCTGAGTCCAGTAACAAATTTGCCTTCTTTACTCATAACACCTGCTCCTTCTTAGTTTTACCTACGCATCAAAAAGCAGTTTGCAGATATTAATGTGCAGATTTGCCTCCTGGCAGACTCACAGTTTACAATTCATGTTGCCGACTTAGAAACTGAGGCAGGGAATTCAGTCACTACAGCCCAACGATGAATGTGTTCAGTAGAACTCAGGGAGCTGCTTTTATTCTTATTTACATCAGCTGCTCTATGTCTCCATTCTTTTGTTAATTGTGGAAATTTATTCAGCACTCTCTTGCTTTCTACAAAAGGGAAGGCTTCCTGAGTGCATTAATTCGCTGCCTGGGAGAGGAAGGCTGGTGTGTGGAATTTTTTGAGGGGTTTGCCAGATAAGGCCCCAAGTCCAAGCCAGACTTGCTATATTTATCTCTGATACAACTCTCAATTGCAGCAGTGATGTTACAGAAGCAGTTCATTTGGTGCTTAGGGTCCAAAGCAAGGTAAAGGCAACTTGATCCTCGGTAATTTTGTATTATGATACATTGGTCAGGAAATTTCACTTTTAAAAGGCTATTTTGCAAGTACATCACAAGAAAACTCCTTTTCCTTGGTGTCAAGATGTTGCTTCCATGTCTCTTGGCACAGAGCAGTGTGTACTTGTCATGTTGTTGCAATCTAGAGCAAAGCTTGGGTCAGGTCAGATAACAATAAAATAAAAATCAGGGCCCAGCTGTATTAATTATGGTTACCTGTCTGTGCACAAACAAAAATGCTGATCCCAACACACACTGTGTGCTCCAGCAGTGCCTCTGCAAACAGGGGTGTTCTCTGCCTGCCCAAAACAACACTGCAAGTGTGGGCAGGGAGTTAAGGAGCAGGTAAAATACCTGTCCTTGTTTGACACCAAACTCAGGGGGAAAAGAGTTCTCAAGCCCTTGCCCTGTGTGGTCAGACTACAAGAAATTAAGATGAGGTTACTCTGAACATCACAGCTTAAGTCCGACTGAGGAATAGACCATGTGATAGTTGAGGCATGAACTGTTCTTCTTGCTCTCTGCTCTCAAGCTGCTTTTATTTAAAAACAAAACAAAACAAAAACTCCTCAATGTCTAATTTTCCTTTTCTCTGAGGAATGGCTGGGTTTTTTGGGCCGTTTCCTGGCTACTTCTAGCTCAGCATGTGCCCCTGTGGTGGAGAATGAGCCCTGCTCAAACCCCAGGTTTTGCAGTGGTTTCACTGCTTCAGCAAAGATATTTGTGGGTTTTTTTCCATATCAATTAATGCCTACAAGCATAGCAGGTAAAGTGCTTATATCCTGCTGTTTGCGTTCCAATCCTGCACTGCTGTGAGCACACACACACTGATAATATCACTTACTGTTGGACTTGTATTCCCT